CCGTCCACCTGAGCGACTAGACGAAACGTGGAACTCGAATGGCGGCTGCTGTGTGAAGGCGCGGGGGGCGGGGAAAAAAATGTAGGGGCCCAAGGACACACAAATAAACACACACACACAAATAACAGGATCCCCCATGTTTTTCATATTGTCTGATTTTCGTCTTCCTCCCCACCTCCCATGTTTTCCAGGGAATCGACGATGAATTGCGTATGTCATGTTCTGTTCCCCTCCTGAAAAAAAAACTCTCCCGCTGCTGTCGCTCGGCACCCCCGGCGCGCGGCACGCTGGATGTGGAAGCGAGTGCGCCTGCGCGCGACCTTCCAGCAGGCGCTTGACCGCAAGAGACCGTCCACGAGAAACCCGACCCTGAGTTGGTTGTCCCCAAACGTGGTTTTGAGAACACCTGGTGGTGAGTTTTGGGCGATTTGGGTAATGGTTTTCGAGCGCTGGCTGGCCCAGGAAACGCAAAACCTCGTGGCGACCGCGTGTCCCCAAACCCGGTGGTGACCCAGAATTATTTTTTGGGGGAATCGGGGTCACCACCAGGTGTCTCACCACCTGGTTTGGAGACCACCAACTGAGACCCCAGGAGATGTCCATTGCTCCGGGGCGTGGGAACGTCACGCTCTCCACCGCGAGACCGTCGAGACCCAGGGCCCCGGGCGCCCTGGAGGCCAGCAGGGCGTCTCCTGGCATGGGCTTCCGCGGCACGCGAGCAGCCGACGTGCCACAGGGTGCTGCGGACGGCCTCGCTTCTCTTCGGCTGCACGCAAGAGTGACCCTGGGTAAGAGTGACCTCTGGTGCGCGGCCTTTGGGGGGGCCGCGGGGGGACCAAACCTGGGCGCGCGAGCCGCTGCTCCGGCTCCGTTCTCGGCCATCCGGGGGCCCACCTGTGCCGGCACCAGAGGTCGCTCCGGCGAGAGGTCACTCTTACTGACTACCTACCCGACCACCCCAACCCCAACCCGAAGACCCGAATCTCGGGTTGGGGGGGGTGCGGCTCCCATCCGTATTTTCTCGATGTTCCCCGACCCCCCCCCCTCTGGAAATGGAGGTCAAGTTGAGGCCTTCGGGTTGGGTTGGGGTGGTTTGGTGGGTGGTGACTTGAGCCCAGTCGAAGTTCGGAGGCCTGGAAATCGGCACCAGCACCAGCACAGGGGGTTGCCTCCACAGGGGGAAGATGATCCTAGATTTCGGTGTTGGTGGCAATATATCGGCCACCTCGGAAGCCATGATATCGACCACCTTGGAAGCCTCCATGGAGGCACACCGCCGATATTGGTGTTGGTGTCAACCTCCTCTTCCTCCTCCTCCTCCTCCTCCTCCTCCTCCTCCTCCTCCTCCTCCTCCTCCTCCTCTCCTCCTCCTCCTCCTCCTCCTCCTCCTCCTCCTCCTCCTCCTCCTCCTCCTCCTCCTCGTCGCCAGCCGCCGCCACGGCTGAAGGTCGAGGGACACGCGGCCCTCCCACCCTGTTCCATCGCCCGCCAGGGGAGCAGCGCGCGATGCCCACGCGCCCGCGGGGCCCTTCAAGAGACCCATGATGGAGGCTCTCCTCTTGCTCGCGGCCGTCGGCTTCTCGCCGCGGGCGGCCGCCTACACGTCGACAGGCGCTTGCCGCGCCCCTGGACGCATTCAGGAGCGAGAGCCTCAACCTGCTCAGCACACCAGGCTCTACGTGTACAACCCTCTCTACCCGACGGGCAGCACCCGCGCGCAGGAGATCACCTGCGAGCACTACATGGGCGTGATCCTCTTCCCTGGGACGAGCCGCCGCCCGACACTGGACGGCCGCCACAGCCTCTTTCAGCACGACTACCACTGGGAGCTCTCCTTCGGCTGGACCAACAAGAGTTGCGGGGGGAGCATCTTCCTACATCAGCGGTTTCCGCAGGCACACCTACGTCGGATCTACCCTCCGCCCGCGGCGCTCTCGGGCCGCTGCGGCGCGACAGTGCCGCTCCTCGGACGTGCTCCTCATGGTTCGGCACCTTTCCGTGCCATCCGAGTCCTGCTCCAGCCGCAACTCATACCGCCAGGTGACCCAGGCTATGATCTCGTGGGCACGCACCACGCTGGAGTCTGTGGGCAGTCGACGCACGCCCTTCAGCAGGGCGGACCTCAGCTCGGCGACTCCGTGGACGAGACGTTTCTCGGCCCCCCGTCCCTGCTCGAGCCCGACTTGTGGAGCGAGGTCGACAGCGCCGTGGGCCCCTTCCTGGAGCTGGAGGGCCTTTCTGGACGTCTTTGGCAACGGTTCCTCTCGGACCACGACACCTTCTTTGTCAGCGGGGACACCTTCATCGGGGCGCACGGACGGTCACGCAGGATCGACTTCCTCCACGCCCCGTGCAAGTGCAAGGCCCCCATGGGAGCAGGACGCCGCCGCAACACGTTGTACGATCGAGACCACCGCTCTGTCTACGCGGGCGACATCTTCGAGGCCCACGCGCAGCACACCGGGGACTACGACACGATCATGCTTCGTCTGGAGGGCGC